ATCTCGAAGTTTATGAGAATCCTCATTTTTCCATGATGGGTGATGATGTCCGTTATGGTGTGGGTGATGATGAGAGGATGACATGTAAACACTAAATTAGCCGCTCTCGACTCACCCCGCCTACTGTTTTGCCGCTCAACACTCATACGACACGATCTCAATTTTAACAACCAAGACACTCCCCTCCGTTGAATTTTAATATGTGCATGGTTGGACTGCTCTCGCACCAATTCAAATCATGAACGAGGAATGGTGTCAAGTCTATTCGGTATCGGACTGTAGCTCAGCATTGGACTGGTCTGCCGAAATCACACTGTTCTTGAATGCCGGTTGTTTCATTTCAAAATATATCATGTACTACGTATCATCGTAACATAAGCACCGGTAAGGTACAAAGTACAAGTACCTCGGTAGGACTGTTCGGGCAGATGACATGAGCACATATCAACGCAGAGCTACAGTACAGTTTGGAGATCGCAGTCAGCCAGTCTTCTTGTTGAGTGCGCATGCCGGCATGTGGGACATTGCACTTAGAGTTGAATGAGCTAATTTTGTCCAAACAAAGAATCCCATCGTCAACCAAAAGATACGAAGATGGATTTCGTGTCAGAACATGATCACATTATAAATCGGCGTTTCCACCACAGTACACAACACACCCGCACTTCCTATCAGCATTCGACAGCATGGCCCCAAATAGTCGCGCAACTACTCTCTTGACTCATTCTCAATTCGAAAAGAATGAAACTTTTCCTTTTGATCATGATGATAGCGAACGGTATCTGTCAACAAAGAGTGAAGACCAATCGAAAGCTCTTACTATTGACAACGGTGACGATGTCAATCGGGTATGGGAATCCATGATTGGTGGAAACCTGTCTCCTTTCTCAAATCGAGGTGACAAGCCGACTCGAATTCATGGCATGTTGTCGGGTATCCGAATTTTGGAAGATCCTATCCACAATCAAGATTGGCTTTCAGACTTTGGTGGAAGTTTGCACAACGTTCCCGTGGACCAAATCGAGGCAATTCACGATAAAGCTCCCCAGGAGTTCACTGCCCGAGTTGCCGACTTTAACGAGAATTTGATGTATGCCATGCAATCGGAACGAGGACTGGAGCATTTGGGATTGTCTTCGGGCCAGCTCCAAGACTTGTTGCAAGCCAAAGAGTATCTAGGATCCTTCTTGACGACCGAACACACCATGACTCAACCACCACATGTCGACTACATGTGGGAGATACTAAATGACTATTCCAAGGAAGATTTGAAAGTTGGATTCTTCCCCCTAACAAAAGATGGAATGTTTTTGCAAGTTTGGCCTCGGTAAGTTGCTTGTTCTTGCGGATCATGCGCATGTGTGTTACTTTTAAAAATCATTAAATCATTAATTGTTGTATTTAGTGACGATAATGCCGAGCAAGTAAAAGGCCAGTTGATCTTCATTCCCTTTGGAAAGCTATTGATATTACCAGCGCATACTATTCATGGCGGAGGATTCCGTACGACAGCTCGCAGCAAAGGTCCTTGTGGGAATCTGCGGTTTCATCTTTACATTTCCAAGCATGGAGCTCAATTACCAAAACATCAAACCAACAAGTATACAGAGCCCAACAACAAGGGAACGGTAAGATACATACAATTTTTGCTTGCGAACTGCAGGTTCCATGATTGATTCTTATGCCGCTGTTTTTCAATCCATCAATTCAGGAATTATCATGGCGCTATATTGATGCGCCAAACATGGAAGAACTACAATCATGCTTCTTTGTATAGGTAGTAGCTACTAGATAACAATTCAATACTAGTACTAGCATTTCACAGACCGGTTTTCATATTACTCCTTATGGCTGTTTCAGCAAAAATAAACTTATGTTAACGATCTAAGTCTTCAGTCTCTATATTGTCCATTCATCATATGTGTAGTAGTACGTGGCGTGTGGCGTTCTGGTATTGTGTTTCAAAATTGGCATATAAAATTATGTATGATCAATTATGCTTGGGTTTTTTTTTACATGTGAGAAAACTTTCGGTGCGCTGCGCACCACGCTCCAAGGTTGTCGCACCAACGGACCGCGTTTTATTCAGCCACGTAGATTACATACTCCTTAAATAGGCATGAAAAACCAACGCACCTCACAAAATCAAGTCGCAACATCGCCAGGTCTGGAACATTATTGCATCTCACCAGATTGCTACACACTTGGTCTTGAAATCAATCAACAATGAAATTATACAGCTTCTATTTCCTTTTGGGAGTATCATGGACGACCTGCGTTCTAGGAGAGAATATTAGAGGTGCTACCAGATTCACAGCTCCTCGTAGTCTTCAAGAAGCCAACGCTACAATAGTAGATGAAGTTCAATTCGCCGACACCAACACTACCACCGTAGAAAAACCTGCTGTGGAAGTGGTTGCCGCTAAACATCACCACGATTACTCGGCAAAAGACTTTGAATACGTGTCCACCAGACCATCTTCCAAGGGTTCAAAGAAAAATGGACAAGCAGGAGGGCACAGTGGAAAAGGAGGAAGTGGCAAGGGTTCATCGTCTTCGTCAAAAGGAATGAGCGGAAAGGGGGGGAAAGGTGCGAGGGTCAGTCGTAGTGGTGGTGACAGTGACGGCGGAAGTAGCGGTACTGCGGGTAACAAGAAAGATTCGAAAACCATCATAAGTAAGTTTTGAAATATATCTTGAATGCTGAGGTTCGAAGACTTGGTGATCTCATCGTGTTTTTTCGCTTTTCAAACAATTTAGCTGCACAACCTACTATCATGGAAGCCCCAACTGCTTCACCATCACAACGACCCACAGCTATGAACGAACATGTCTTCGTTCTTGATAACGTTATGCTCTTTTACATCCCCAGTGACGGAGCTGTTCGTTTGCCTACAACTCTTGAAAATGCGGAACTTCTGGAATTGACAAGCTCGTACATTGACTTTTGTTTCAAGAACGAGTACCCGGATACGTCACTCACAGATCTCCGTGAAGTCATTACTGATTTTGCCGGCATTAACTTCATCTACGAAGGAGAAGCCATCGAGAAACAGTTTCAGCCAAAGGTGGTCTTCGCCAATTCCCAAGAAGTTCCAACACGTCAACAATTACAAAATACCCTACACCTCATCTTCGATGATGACCACATTGAATACTATATGGAGTGGTTAAGAGGCCCATACCCGCCACCTCCGGATACCGCCATTGGCGAGCTTGGTAGCGGAAACATCTTCAAGGGTGCACACGTCTACAACGAGCGCCCAATCATCATGGGGCAGTCTGCTGGTTCTACCGATAGTAACTTCACCATGGTCATGGTTGCAGCTGCTGCCACTGGATTCACCCTCTTTGTTGCTGGCGTTGTGATTTCAAACCGAACAAGGGACAGAAATGGACCAACCATGGAAGTTAAGGACTTGGAAAAGCAAGCAGGCGACGGTACTGTCACTGGAGAGACCATGACAATCGGCTCTGGGCAGACAAATGAAGTCAGTCCTCTCTCAAACTATATGAGTAGAGGTGTAGAACACTATAACCACGAGCACCGCACACCTGCGCAGAACGACAGTCTCCTTCTTCCCTCCTTTGGGGCAGACCGAATGACTATTGATGAAGAATCAATGGAGGACGTCTCAATCTCAACTGATGTATCTTCGCGCAAGGATGAAGGGGAGGAAACAGCACCGGAAGCTTGGAGTCAAGACAAGGCTGAAATGATCGACGAAGAGATGAATTTGGAAGACGACGGTTCCGAAATCAGTCACGAGGTAATCAATTTGGAGGAGGTTGAAGACCAACTCACTGCGCCAGAAATAGCAGCTCCCAAAAACACTGCTGACGAAACTGAACTACAAGAACGGGCACATGTCGACAAACAAGCAGTATCGGACTGGAGAAGACACCGAGGTTCAGAAGCTGAAGTGATCGAGCTTCTTGATGTTGAATCGTTTGATAGTCTGGAAGACCCCTATTCCGAAGGTTCTTCGTCAAGCCAAACCAGTGAATCGATTCAACGCCCAAAGAGTTTACGTGAACTTACAGCAATGCTGTCTTCGCGGCTGCCAAGCGAGAGAGATATGGCCTCCAAGCAGCACCACCAGACAGACCCTGTCATTAATGAAGATTCAGAAAAGCCAAAATCCGTAAGAGAGATGTCAAAGCTATTCTCACGTGGATCGATGTAATTGGCAATATCTTCCCCTAGGAACATGTATTCGTTCTACTGCAATTTCTAAGTAATGTCAAACCAATTTCCTCTTAGTACAAGAAGTAAAAAGCAAGGAGATTTCAGCAACTGTTGGCAACTGTGTGCTCTCGATCCACGGCCATTTTGAATCCGGAGTGACATCTTAGCATGCGTCATGCCGAACTATCCCTGGCATTGGAAAGGCCGACTGAGTGAGTCTTGTCAGAGATCAAATCTTTTTTATAGAGAATTGTCTCGCATGATGATTGGCTGATCTGGTTTTAACGGTTCTGCCCAAATTTTAGTAGTGACTCCTCATCGTCGTTGACCTACAGTATGCGGGACTGTTGGTCAGGTTAAAACAAAATAGACAGTGAAGCATCAAACATACCGTATACGATTGTGCTTTTTTTCTATTAGAGGAGTGGCAAGTCATAGGAAATAACATGAATGTAGTTTGAATGGACTTCGTTTCAGTTAGTCTCGTTCAATCAAGACGTTGTACATTTGAATTGCTAGCTTTCACTGTATACATAATCCTACACCAAGTACAGGAAGCAAGCTGCTCAAAGCCTCCTCACATCTAAGATCTCGAGCTATTTCCCAAGACATTACGAAACGTTGGGTGCAAAAGACGCGAAAAATCAACTCAACACCAAAACCAATTCCAAAATCATTACTTCAACATATTTTTGGCGAACGAACCCGTCACACGAATGTCGCAGGGGACCCAACGCCTTTCTTTCATCTTTTTCAAATCGTTGGTGTGAAATTATAGCGTATTTCTCCAACATTGACCACCATGGAGAAAATACACTGCTTTCTCGCACTGCTTATAGTGCTTTCGCCGATACACAATGCATCTAGTCTCTTAGACGTCAGTGCTTTACCAAACCATATTGGCCGCGGAATGCGAGAGCATCATGGAACCGATAGATGGAAAGATAGTTACCCAATCCATTTTTCTTCGAGTCAAAAGAAGGCTTCAGACACTGTTGTTTACGCCTCCCACTATGGAAAGGGCTACAGGAGTGGTAAAAGTTCAAAGAAGAGCTCATCATCGAAAAGTTCAAAGAAGTCATCTGGAAAAGGAGGGTATCACAGCCCACCGCAACAGTCAGGAGGAGGTCACACACCAACCCAACCATCGCATCCAGTCCAGCCACCTCATCCGAGTCCAACTAACCGTCCAACAACTCCTCCCCCAAGTTCCAATCGCCCCGTAGCGAGTAGTGATGACGGAGGTACGACTTGAAACATACCTGTACACTGAAAAGAGAAATTAAATTCTACTTCTGACAATAATTATTTTGCACTGTTTGCAGGAGACAGACCACCAGTTGGGTCACCTACAAGGCCTCCAAACACAATTGAATGCGACGTTGATAGTCTACTGAGCTCATATGCTATTGAGTACACTCTAGAAATTACTGCTGGCGACATCCCATCCCCAGACGACTACAGAGATCTTGCAGTAGTGGTGGAACGATATATTTCAGAGTATTTGACAAGTCAGTTTAGTGGATCGAACACAGTAATGATGACTGGTGTCACAAGCATCACAGGCGACCTTAATTTCCAGTCTCCAGTTGTATTTGCAGAGTATGAATCCAGGGCTTGTTTTCGCCGAGGGTCGGACGTGCCGAGTCTTCAGGCTTTGGACACTGCACGTGCTGGCATGCTAAGCACTCAACAAGATCAAGATTTATTCATTTCAGCAATCCAAACTTTGCTTCCCACAGGAAATATCTTCAAGTCAAGTCTCGTTGGTGTTGAATTCGAGAATCTTCCAAGTGCATCGCGACTGGATGGCGGAAGTGGCAGTGCCGCCGTTCTTGCATCAGCAATCGCAGGGTGCACCATGCTAGCAGCTGGAATATTCTTGTATAAACGCCAAAGATTACCTGGGGGTGGCTACATCGCTGACACAAAGCCAACATCAAAGCTCGACGAAGGCGGAGGATCGACAGTCGCGGGTGAAACGTTTACAGGTGAATCGTTTGCTACGGAATCGATACGCTCCCATGCAACACCTCCAAAGGTGTCACCAAGGATCCCACCAAAGCTTCCACGTAGAGCGGCGTTGTTGCTGCAAGAAGTGCAACGGAACTCATCTATGATAAACAAATCAGAGGGGGTTAACCTGTCCCCGCGTGCCAGTCTGATGGATTCGGAGAGCCCCACATCATGGAGCTCTGTTGCAATATCAAGAGAAACCTGGAAGAGGGAACTTGAAGAGGAACCAGCTTCTGCACCTTCGGAGAGTAGAAGAATAGCCAATTCCATGTCGAAGTACGACGCGTTCCTGGAGGACTCGGACGAGGATGACTGTTTGAAGGATCCACATCTATCGATATATGCGGAAGACTTGGAAGTTGCTGGAGAATCCACGGAAGCACAAACAGATCTTGATATAGAAAGTACACCGCAGTACTCGATGGATGAAATCGAGGAGATGCTTTCACACCCAATATGAGGAGATTTCAAAAATAATTTGCTTGTTCGTATCGCTCAACAGCCGCACATTTAGAAATAAGGGGGAACTATGGGATGACTAGTAAAAGTTTAAACGTCTTGTACATAGTTCAGTAGATATCCATACTGGTATTGACGTGTAGAATCACCAATTAAAGATATTTTCTAGTATCATGATACGACCATCCTACACCAATATAAAACAATCCGATAGTAGGTCCTAGTCGCCTCGTCGAAGAAAAAGTATACATATTTGTTGTCAAAAGTAGGGGCGAGGAGTGCTTCTGGGGCTATCAGCCTTTGTTCTGTTAGTTTTTCGATGATGCTCATTCTGACGAACCATCACATCAAGCTCGGCATCCTACAGTACCCGTGAAGTATTATGAATTTGAAATTACTGGACTGTGCCTATCCGTCAAATAAATCTATTCGCCAAATTCCAAACCTCCAATTCTAAATATTGTTCTTAGTTCCGTGCGCAGGCCAGCATAGCGCAAATACATATGTGATGAATAAAAATATATTCGGAATTATTCTATTAGCGATGCGAAATGTGCACCTTTCGCTTCACTGCGATAAAATGATACATTTCTCGTTAAATGTGCGGCCGTTGCAGATTGTTTGTCTCAATGTCAATTGCATCTACTTACTTTTATTATCTACTGGTCAACAACACAACGGCCGAATGGAAACCAGATCGATAATCAAAAAACTCGAAGATACGCGACAGATAAATTCCAACAAGCTGCAAAGCAACATAGACATCGATTCAAGACCAATTGACCATACCTCTCGCGTCGTTTGTGAATTAATCATTCGTAGAAGGTCTTAGAACGATGACCGTAGAGATGAAAAGCTCTAGGAGAGCGGTCTTTATTTGCACATCAATCTTGATGCTTGCAATTGGATCTGTTACCAACATCTTTGGATTTGATGCTCTACACTCGAGTAGCAATGATTTCCTCAAGTTACTTCAGCTTGGGCTCCGAGACATTCGCTCAGTATATCAAGAGAAATCAAACGTTACGCTGAACGTTTTGAAATCGAACATTAGCGCAACAGAACCGAATGATGATACTAGAAGGAAGATGTACGAAAATTTAGACACCGATACAGCACTGCTCGAAAGAAACAGTAAATTTGTCTTTCCAAGTAAGACTTTTGCGGCAAGAAGACGAATGGCTACTAGTCCAAGAGGAGGCAATGCCGAGGAAAAAGCTTTCATGGAACGGGAAAGCCGACCAGTATTTGGAAGCAAAGGCGACAAGAGACTTGCTGGACCGAGAACCGTTCTCGCAGAACAAGAAGAGTACGATTGTAATCCGAAGCCCTCCCTAGCTCCCCAATCACGTCAGCCCTCAAAAGCGAGTGCAAGTATTGCGCGAACCACTCTTGTTCCTCTCAACAGCGAAAGCAGCGTGGATGGCAACTCCGATTACGACTACGACCCAGAGCAAGATGAATATTATGAGATTCAGACCTCAAGAGACTACCCATACGACTATTCGGAATCTTCGTATTCTGAAGACGAAGATTCGAATGCTCGAGCCAGCGAAAACATCCAGAGCAGGACCAAGGTGAAGGTTCGCACACAACAGAAGATCCGAGTCAAGAACCGAACCAAAGTCAAGGTCCGTACACAGCAAAAGGTCCGAGTGAGCAACGGGCAGCAGAAGGTCCGAATCAGCAACGGGCAGCGCGTCAAGGTTCGTACTACCAGCAAGGTGCGGGTCCAGAACGGAACTCAAAAAGTGAAAACCAACTACAAAGCCAAGGTCAAAACCAACTACAACTACAAGGTTGGAACCGAATATCGATACACTGAAACCAGTAAGAAGCGAGCCGGAACACGATACGGAAGCAGAGTCAATTATCAAACTGGATACAAGACTGGAAGCGATATTGGATACCGCTACACTGAAACTAGCAAGAGGGCATCTGGGACCAAATACACCACTAGAGTTGGCCACAGAAGCGGACGAGGCGTTGGATACGGATACACAGACACTAGTCGAAAGAGAGCAGGTACGACGTACTATCAAAGGAGAGATGATAGCAGTTCAAGCAGTCAACGCGGGTCATCCAACTCTAGTCGGCAACGCAATAGAAGTCGGTTCCTTGAAAGTGAAGCCTCTGAAGATGAGCAACAAGTTACTGGTCGTGAACTCGTGGATGGATTTGGTGGTATGCACGGGAGTGCCGTTGATGTTTACACTGATGAGCGTGGCTGCTTGTGCGTATGCGATGATGACGAGACAACGGAAAAGAGCTACGTGAGGAGGGGATCGGAGCCTTCGAGTCCAAGTAGACGCTACAATGAGGCATCTTCAGATGAGGGGACAAAATACAAGGTCAAAATCCGTACTCAACAGAAGATTCGCGTAAGGACAAAGCAAAAAGTGAGAACCAAGACACAGGACACCGTTAAAGTGCGCACACAACAGAAGGTCCGAGTCAAGAACCGAACCAAAGTCAAGGTCCGCACGCAGCAAAAGGTCCGAGTGAGCAACGGGCAGCAGAAGGTCCGAGTGAGCAACGGGCAGCGCGTTAAGGTTCGTACTACCAACAAGGTGCGGGTCCAGAACCGAACTCAAAAAGTGAAAACCAACTACAAAACGAAGGTAAAAAAAAACTACAAAGCCAAGGCCAAAACCAACTACAACTACAGGGTTGGAACCGAATATCGATACACTGAAACCAGTAAGAAGCGAGCCGGAACACGATACGGAAGCAGAGTCAATTATCAAACTGGATACAAGACTGGAAGCGATATTGGATACAGCTACACTGAAACTAGCAAGAGGGTATCTGGGACCAAATACACAACAAGAGTTGGCCACAGAAGCCGACGAGGCGTCGGGTACGGATACACAGACACTAGTCGAAAGAGAGCAGGTACGACGTACTATCGAAGGGGAGATAATAGGAGTTCAAGCAGCAGACGCAGAAATCGGTTTCTCAAAAATGAAGCTGCTGAAGACGAGCAAAACAAATCTCCTCACAATCTCGGCAGAGTGCTTTATGATGAGGATCCCACGGGATGCTCATGTACATGTCCAGGCGATTCAGAAGAGCCAGAAGATTCAGATACTGATGGTGGCGTTTTCTTTCCTGCAAGACAGAAGCCTCCAGGTTCTTCGAAGAGTTCGAGAACGATCACTTGTACCCCAACAAAAGCGCCATCAGCAGCACCCATTGCTGGTTTCATGCCAGGACTACGAGTTCCTTCAGCTAGTTCAACACCCTGGACAAGACCTTCTCCAGAACGTACACCCAAGGCAAGCCCAAGGCCAACACCTGGCCCAACTCCCATTCCAACAAGCAGATTGGCACCAGAACCATCCGCCAATTCTGCAAAGCAGCCCAGTCAAGGACCAACAAGAAAGCCAACATACAATCCTACAGAGAGCCCAACTCAGTGGTGGAGAGATGGCGCCCCAACCCTGCAGCCAACAGATAGAAACTATGATGAATTGGCGACAAAAAGTCCTTCTTCCAAAGCACCTTCAGAAAGAAAAGGATCTCCACGGCCCACTGGTGGCCCCAGACGTCCACCAGGTGAGCTGACAGAGAGTCCTACTGGAAATCAAAGATCACCTCCTGTTCCCTCCACAGAGACAACTCCTCCAGTAAATCATCCAACTGCAGAAGCACCTACCTCTGGACCAACACCATGGGGATATGCACCAGGACAGAGACGTCCAACAAGTCCTCCAACTACAGAAGCACCTACCTCTGGACCAACATCATTAGGAAATGTACCAGGACAGAGGCGTCCAACAAGTCCTCCAACTGCAGAAGCACCTACCTCTGGACCAACACCATGGGGATATGCACCAGGACAGAGACGTCCAACAAGTCCTCCAACTGCAGAAGCACCTACCTCTGGACCAACACCATTAGGAAATGTACCAGGACAGAGGCGTCCAACAAGTCCTCCAACTACAGAAGCACCTACCTCTGGACCAACACCATGGGGATACGCACCAGGACAGAGACGTCCAACAAATCCATCAACAGAAGCACCTACCTCTGGACCAACACCATGGGGATATGCACCAGGACAGAGACGTCCAACAAATCCATCTACAGAAGCACCTACCTCTGGACCAACACCATGGGGATATGCACCAGGACAGAGACGTCCAACAAATCCATCTACAGAAGCACCTACCTCTGGACCAACACCATGGGGATATGCACCAGGACAGAGGCGCCCAACCAACCCTCCTACAACAGGACAAACTGCAGAACCCACTCCAAACCCCACCGATAAACCAACTCCAGCTCCAACACTGGCACCTTCTCAGAATCCAACACCTGGACCCACTCGTGAACCAACAAGGAAGCCGACACAAAGTCCCAGTCCCAGTCCCACTAACAAACCGACGCAAAATCCAACACTGGCACCTTCTCAGAAGCCAACCCCTCAACCGACTCAAAGTCCAACAAGGAAGCCGTCGCCAAATCCGACTCCCAGTCCTACTGATAAACCAACTCCAGCTCCAACACAGGCACCTTCTCTGAAGCCAACCCCTCAACCAACTCAAAATCCAACACCTGGACCGACTCGTGAACCAACAAGGAAGCCGACACAAAGACCAAGTCCCAGCCCCACTAACAAACCAACGCCAAATCCAACACAGGCACCTTCTCAGAAGCCAACCCCACAACCAACTCAAAATCCAACCAAGAGACCCACTCGTGAACCAACAAGTAAGCCGACACAAAGTCCCAGTCCCGGTCCCACTGATAAACCAACTCCAGCTCCAACACAGGCACCTTCTCAGAAGCCAACCACTCATCCGACTCAAAAGCCAACAAGAAAGCCGTCGCCAAGTCCGACTCCCAGTCCTACTGATAGACCAACCCCAGCTCCAACAAAGGGACCTTCTCCGAAGCCAACCCCTCAACCAACTCAAAATCCAACTAAGAGACCCAAACCAGCACCAGCCAAGGATCCAACACCTGGACCTCCCAATCCAACTAACAAACCGACGCAAAATCCAACACTGGCACCTTCTCTGAAGCCAGCCCCTCAACCCACTCAAAGTCCAACAAGGAAGCCGTCGCCAAATCCGACTCCCAGTCCTACTGATAAACCAACTCCAGCTCCAACACAGGCACCTTCTCAGAAGCCAACCCCTCAACCAACTCAAAACCCAACACCTCAACCCACTCGTGAACCAACAAGGAAGCCGACACAACGTCCCAGTCCTAGTCCCACTAACAAACCAACACCAAATCCAACACAGGCACCATCTCAGAAGCCAACCCCTCAACCAACTCAAAATCCAACCAAGAGACCAACCAGTGAACCGACAAGGAAGCCAACACAAAGTCCCAGTCCCAGTCCCACTAACAAACCGACGCCAAATCCAACACAGGCACCTTCGAAGAAGCCAACCCCTCAACCAACTCAAAATCCAACCAAGAGACCAACCAGTGAACCGACAAGGAAGCCAACACAAAGTCCCAGTCCCAGTCCCACTAACAAACCCACGCCAAATCCAACACAGGCACCTTCTAAGAAGCCAACCCCTCAACCAACTCAAAATCCAACTAAGAGACCCACTTATGAAACAACAACGAAGCCAACACAGAGTCCCAGCCCCGGTCCAACTAACAAGCCAACGCCAAATCCAACACTGGCGCCTTCTCTAAAGCCAACCCCTCAACCAACTCAAAGTCAAACAAAGAGACCCACAGCGACGCCAACCAAAGATGTAACACCTGGCCCTACGCCAGGACCAACTCCAAACCCCACTGATAAACCAACTCCAGCTCCAACACAGGCACCTTCTCAGAGGCCAACCCCTCACTTGACGCAAAGTCCGAACATAATTCCTACAGAGCCTTCTTCCCAGCCTTCGGCTTGCGAGGAAGTCTTTGATCAGTGCGAAGAGACTTGTTTCTTGGCGATCGACGATGAAGAAAGACCAGTCGATTGTAATGCTTTATCTGATCCAATTGAGCTAGCCAGATGCGATACATTGGTTCAGCCAAACGGTTGTAATTGTTGCCCAAAAGAATGTACACCAAACAATCCCATGTTGACTACATCACCCGATGGAAGCCCTCCAGCTTGCTCACCCACCATGATGCCAACCACCTCTTCATCTCAATCCCAGGCTCCATCTCCCA